CCGTCTATGAATGCAGAAGTTACAGGGATGGCCAGATACCCTGTGTCACCCGGTATAGATGAAAGAGAATGAACATAGGAATGCATTTCTGATATACAGGATGTTACATTTGAAATATCAAAGTCAACATTGGCAGTTCATAATATCACCCTGTAAGATAAATCTCAATTATGACTTCATTGAAGAGATAGTCCAAGTATCATCGAAGCTCATGCATAATTTTGGATGGAAATTTTGAAAACGAAGATTATCAGGCATATTCGAATCAACATATGTGTACGAGTCGGTGTATTATAATGTTCCAAAATAATTCTAACCAACTTGGCAACGCCGTAAAAGAATAACGAAAAGAAGACATGGTTGTGTAGACAAGATAACGTGTTCCACCCGGTGTTCCATATGAAAAAATCATAATTCATGTAGCTCCGCATTCAAGAAAGATCCTGTAGAGATCAAAATAATTTCTACTGTATCTTCAAAAAGATTTTTTCTCTATATCATTGCAATGGAGCAATAGAGCTTCTTCATCGAGTTCTCCACACTACGTGGGCACTCGCTATGTGATCCATATTAAGAAAGAGTATGACTAATCAATTTGGGATATACATGTGAAAATGCTCGTGAAAATGTATCATAACATCTGACCGTTCCTGACAGTCTCCCTATATTTTTCCGAACCGAATATCACCCGTCTTTGCTGAAAGAAAAACTCATAGGGCTAGGTCTCTCTCCCCGTGTAAGTGAAATTGGGGGGCGAGAATTGGGGGGTGTCAAAGGGGATTCTGATGATTTCTGGCCGTTACCAGGGCAGCCATCTTGTTCGGCAATTACCCATCTGGTTATCAGAGTGATGCTGATTCCGTATTGAGATGAAGATGAGCATTTTATGATCCTTAGCAAAAACAACTCAAAATTAACCGCTGACCATATGCACCAGGTAACTTTATCAGTCTTATGAAATTAATGCACCATACCAAAAAGTAGTCAAAATTACTTTTTTGTTTTTAATGATATAGGCGAGGATATAGGTTATCTCCTTCTGAACATTGGTATGTACACTGTATTCGCATTAAAACTCTTTTTTATACATACCGGGTGCAGTAATTATAGCATATTCTTTTCATGGAATTTGTAATACCCTGTCGAGTGTAATAGTTCACCTCGTAGTTCACTATCAAGTTAGAATTGAATTTCACTTTAGCTTAATCTTTTTTCAACACTTTTTTTTATTATTCACTCCATTATCTTTCCTATTTCATAGCGTAACATGATTTTATGGAAAATGAATATCCAAATTTAAAAACGCAAAAACGATTCAGAATGTGAAGTCACAAGTGAAACGAAAGGGTTAGTATTTCCGCCTCGGGCACCCATAACTTCTTGGCATATCATGAAATGGAGTATGGAGTTCTCCTCGGAGTTCTCCATGACCCTATTTCAAAAAGAAGTATGGCACGACGGAAATTAAGAGTCCATTTTATGGAGACTCATCTAGTATGCATCATATTCGAAAATAATTAAATTATATCAATAAGGACTTATTATTAAAAAACAAGATGTCCAGTGGTGTCCTTAATAGAATCCTATATATATTCAGAGAGGACGAGTCGTAAGAAAAAAATTGCAGGAGCTTGTTGTTATTTTCATTTAATCTATCAGAATCCGGGAGATTGCTCACATATTCTGAGACACCCTGTGTATTGTCAGATGGGACAAGTATACGAAAAAATAACTACAACTATTTTCTTGATGAGTGCAGGCAATGAGGGGAATCAAAGTTTCAGAGATAATGAAGTGAAACGAATTTGTATTGCAGGACATTTCATATAATTTATAAGATGTTTGTAAATGGAGCCTACGAGAGTACCAGACGATAAATTACTGAATAATATTCACGGGTTATTTGTTGAACTGAATGAGAGCATTAACATCAATAATTAATGATTTAATGACCTAATTAGAGTGCATACTAATTCTTACAGAACAGCATTTCAGGGTATAGGTCAGGTAATGTAAAAAAAAAAATTGATTTGATTTCCATCTTTACTCTCAATCAAATTGAACAGACCTCACTGAATTCAAATATTTAGGCCGAGGAAAGTTTTCATGTTTCAAAAACTACTGTTAGTGATCAGGATAGGAATTGATAGACCATACATTATTTCTCTTTTTAGAAATATACAGCATAAAAACTTAGCAACTAGTGTAAACCTTCTCATTTAATCATTAGATATTTGAACATTTGCCAAGTGACTTATCAGCGAAAACTTCCGTTGTTTATAAAAAATCATCAAATTCACTTGCACAAAAGTTGAATGTTTATTAGTTCAATCAGATTTATAAACTTAAGCTCAAGAAATTGTGTTTACAATGGAATGCCGAAATAGATTTCAGATAGTCGAAGATTCAATTACTTAGAACTGCCTTTATAATCAAGGTTTCAATGTTTTCACAATCACATAAGTTCTCGTAAGTTCTTAAAATGATGGAAAATATCAAAAAATTGTATTGTTGAGTTATTATGTATAGATCCATAAAGGTGCAATAAGGATAAACACCAACAAAATATGGATAAGAGGCAAAAGAAATGAAATCAAATATTAGGAATGTACACTTACATACTGTCTGATATAAATCAATCGAATGAAGCAATATGTGAAACTATCGAAGTTTTTATTTTGTTTTTACATTATTTTTCTCGGTGTATTTTGTGGATGTGGCTAACTTCACTCCCGTTTCAACTGAGAGCTTGATGATGACCCTGATGGACCCTGAGGTGTAGAAACGTGTTTTACTGTTTTCTCAGCTATAAGAAAACCAATTCAACAGAAAAAGATTGCAGTTTATTCTAATTATTCACCTATGAAGATAATGGCCGGCAACCACAATATTCGAGTTACCTCAGTTATTGATACTGAAACTGAGGTTTATTAGGTGGGTAAATCCAAAGTGTCAATTATTCATCTTTAAAACTAAGGAATAAGAAGGACGTTTGTCAGAAATTGTCAAGTCGAAACTAATTCAAAATAATTATCTCATAATATCTATACTGCCGTCATAAGCACAAAGGGCAATTTCCACAAAACAACATTTCGTATTTATCCCATTTCTGCGACTAGTAATTTATTCCTATCGAGGTGCGAAAAAACATATTTAACCTAATTTTTCGTATATTTTTCGAAAATATCAAAATAATATCACCTACATTTCGTAGAAATTGAAAAAATATCAAGACCTAAAAGTTGTTATAGAATGTTCGAATTCAAGACACCTATGTACAATTGGTCTCAGTAAACTTTTTCGAAATTCAAACAAATAAGCCAATTTTCAGGGATTAATTTGAAAAAAATTAACTTTTGACATGTAGCGACAAGACATGTGACCCCGACCGAGTAATCTATTTTCCACATTTTTCAAAGCAAAACTCAACGGCCAAGTCGAATATCGAAATAAATTGTTGTTAAAAGTTTTTCCCATATGATGCAGACTTTATGAATTACACTGTATAGTCAAAGTTTACGGAATTACCTCCAGGTAAACCTATTTCAAAAACTTTGGTGCGACCTACCTATAGAATGGCAAAAGTGTAATAACTTCCGTTACACGATAGAAGATAAAACAGATTTTTCCTGTGGTTTGTCATGAAAGAGTAGTTTTTGATCTCCTATTTGAGACTTCCAAATTTCGTTCCGATATATACCAGGTGGTTCAAAAATTAGTAGGGGGGGAATGGAGTTTGGACAGGCATGCACAGTATGAATTATTGAAACTCACGTATGTATGTACATGATTGTAAAGACCAATTGTTTACGATACTCACAATAAATACCTCTCCTACTTTATTCACCCTCAACACACACATTGGTAGTTATAATTTATGATGTTTCATGACCACCAGAGGGGCGCCGAGGATATGTTTGCCTATGGCGCTGTCGACATTTAATCCGCCTCTGACTAACCCGTACTTACCTAGGTCTAGAGCACGTTATCTCGATGTTGATGCTTGAATAAGGGTAACATCATAGGTACGAGATGATAATGACAAAAACACCCCCTGTAGTCCTGTAACAGGTAGGTATATAGATATTGGAATTCCATTCCCACAAATTCCACTTGATGAAATACCTATAATTTGTAATTTGATGGATCATGGATATCTTCGAGATCTACCTGGCATCTCATTCTACTCTCATTCATCAATGAGGACGATGGACTATGCCCATGCCTGTGCCCATACTTATTACCGAGCCTATTACCTAATATTACCCAGGAATGTACACTTATAATAGAGTCCCTATATCATTGTTCCTAGGTAGGTACCTATCTACCTAGATACTAGGCAGAATTCGTTGACAAGAAGGTACAATCAATCAGTTAGTTCTTCATCAACAATAGGTACCTAATGGTACCTATAACATAAACCGAGACATGAACCCAAAATATATCCCATGAGGTGGTCACCTGAATTGAAAGTAATACGAAATAACTATAAAGCTGACAGGTAAGCAAATGTACGAATCGCTTTAGGATAACAATTGATGGTAGAGGAATCTCTGGTAGAGGTATACTTACACTGTTCATCCTGACACAGATAGATAGGTATGGTTGTCACCCCAAATGATTTTTCTGCTAAAGTTGGATGTTGTAGGTAGGTATGATGTAGATGGACCGAGACCTATATAATTTCTATGTTTTGTTTTTGGTGTTGTACATAGCCGAGTAAATAACTACATATCAGAAATCAGATCTGGTTAAATAACTGTAGTTTTGTTGTAATGTTTGTATATGTAAAGAATGATAGATTAAACTTGACATGATATGACAAAAACAACGTAAGGGTTATTGTTAACATGTTAACGAGCTTTCCAATAAAATCGAAAATCAGAGAGCACAGCATCCTCATCATAGACAGTCGTCCAGGGACGTCGAGAGCAAGTCCGATAATGTACACCTTACTATCTTACTAAGCAAGCAAGGATTTCTAGAAAATGGTCACTTACCGACGGTATATTACAAAAATCATGGTAAGCAGTACTGATGCAAAATTTGGAGATAACTGAAATCACTGAACTTTAAATTCATCACATGTGCGAGTCCACATCACTCGAACAAAAACACAGCAACTCCTCTACTTATCAAAACCAAACTAAATCGGACGGGACGGGACGAATGACGATGACGACCAGTTCCGATTGTCCTCATCACGAGTCGCAGCGGTCGCAACGCTATGCGAAACATGAACCTCGCACCATGAGCGGAACATGAAACGTGAAATGGGTTCAGGGATCGCGTGAAGTGGTCTTCCTACTTGCCTAGACAGACTACAAGTACTGGAGAAAATGATTCTGAGTGGGCACTAAATAACAAACCAATAGGATTTCAAGTTATTTTTGAGATAATGGTTTTCCAAAAGTGATCCTTCAAAACCGATTTCTGTAGAGGTATTTGTTTTCTTTCAGTCACGACATTTTCACGACAGGATGACAGCAGAGAGAGGTAGATAAACATATATTGCCTACACTAGACTGAAGGGATGCCGATTTTTTCAAATATGAATGGATTTTTGAATCGGTTCGAATCCGTAACCCAAATAAAAATCGATTCAAGAAAGATCGTGGTAAAAATGTATCGCTAAATATGAAAAAAAAGTGCTTTCTTTCAGATCAGGTATCATTATTACGAGATAACTTGAGGTCCTGCAGAAATACCGTGAATGCAACGAAAAAGTATGAAATTTTATGAATAATGATAAAATACCAAAATAAATTCTCAATGACGAAGAACAGTGAAAGGAACACAATTATTATATTTTCTCAGTCACGAAGATATAAAAAGTTCAAGATCTAAATCATAAATATAAAGTACAAGTAAGCTTCAGATTGAAATATCAACAGAATACCTATATCAATATAATATATGTACCCGCATTCATAACTTCTCGATTATGAACTAAGATAAATGCGCATTTTTTCTGTGTACATGATAGTCGGAATTTTCGATCGATCTTCGTAAAAAATAATCGATTCGAAGCAAGAGTTTCAAGCTCCAGTTGAAAAAGATCGATCACTTAAAAATCGATTTCACAATCGGCATCCCTGGCACAATATATAGAGTGACTTTTATAAACAATAAAAAGGATTATAAAGAATGTCACTCTAACGAGTTTAGCCTACAGGTGCAGGTGCTGTCAGTGGACCAATCTTGCCTACAAGCTAGAGTGAGTTTTGTATTCAGTAAATGAAACACAAAATGAAATATGGCTAAAATGGTCCACCTGAAAAATAACATGAAGAGAACGTCATTGTGAACGCGGTGCAGGCTTTTCACTGATCGAAATAGAGGCTTCAATAAGTTGCGAAGAAAACATTTTAATTCCTCAATTACTTCATACCTTCACGAAATAACTATTACTATAGGTTTAAGATTTGCCTCTATTCGTAATCATCAAAATATCAGGGTTTAGATTTCATTTTTGAGAACTTTATTTGATTTGCATTCAAGTAATATTGATAGTATTGATAATGATCAGAGAATTTGACATCATGTACAAATAAGAATTAATTCCTCGATTATTACGCTGATTCAAATATCATACACACACTTCAAACTTGTATATATATATCAAGGCTTCAAATCAAATCTGTTGTGTAGCGGCATCTGTGATTATTTTTCGTAAGTTATTTTGATCTGGTAATTGGAAGATCACTACAAAGATTATAAACACTCAGAAAACTGGAAACTCCCGAAACCGACCCTATATCTATGGTAACGCCCTATACCAAGAATCTATACATGGAATGAGGAAATATGCTGCAGGGTGATGACGACTACTGGAAAGTGGAAACTATTTGATTGCAAGTACAAAGTTCGGAAAAAAAAAACTAAACTTAATTTAATTCATTCAGAAGATTTTCCCACAAGTAGTAGGAAGCTCTGTGAATTGGGAAAATTAGAGTTTTTAGCATGAGCAATTATTGTGTCAAAAAGAAATTTTGAATATTCCTCATCATTTCACTGGTAAAATGATGACTGAAAATTAATAAAAACAATTATCAGAAAACCTTGTTTATTGTTTCCGGAAAATTTACAAGTCAGAATCAAGGGATTTCAACAGATCACATGTCATTTAAATAAAAATAAGTCATCGAACTCCAGTTTGTAAGGTGAAAAACGTTTTAATAATAGCTTTTTCATAAAAAAAAATAAAGAACTGTAGGACTGCAGAAGGCTATTTCTTCTTCTGTGCTTTCTCGGCAGCTTTTGTGACCTTTCCGGCAGTGGGGTCCTTGAAGTTGACACTCTTGATGACACCTACGGCAACAGTCTGCCTCATGTCACGGACGGCAAACCTTCCTAGAGGGGGGAATTCCTGGAAGGACTCCACGCACATGGGCTTAGTGGGCACCAAGTTGACAATGGCGGCGTCTCCAGACTTGATGGCTTTGGGGTTTTCTTCAGTCGTCTTACCTGACCGACGGTCGACCTTCTCCTTGATTTCGGCGAATTTGCAGGCAATGTGGGCAGTGTGACAGTCCAATACTGGGGTGTATCCATTGGAGATCTGACCGGGGTGGTTCAGGACGATGACTTGGGCGTTGAAGTCGGTGGCTCCCTTCGGAGGGCTGACTTTGGTGTCTCCAGCTACATACCCACGACGCAATTCCTTGACGGAGACGTTCTTGACGTTGAAACCTACGTTGTCTCCGGGCACGGCTTCCTGGAGAGCTTCGTGGTGCATTTCCACGGATTTCACTTCAGTGGTGATGTTGGCTGGGGCAAAGACCACAACCATACCGGGCTTCAGCACACCAGTCTCCACACGGCCTACTGGTACTGTTCCAATACCTCCAATTTTGTAGACATCCTTTAACAAATAAAAAATATTAGTGCTTTGAAAACAATGGTCAGAAATGATCATTGAATTGGATTGTGTCAGAAAAGATTAAGCCAATTGAAAAATCACGTGGTCATTTCAATCTTGTATCATCAGGTGGAGAAAAAATCATAAAGAGAATAAATAATGATCATTTACCTGGAGTGGAAGACGCAGAGGCTTCTCAGTTGGACGGGAAGGCGGGAGAATGGCATCTAGAGCTTCAATCAAGCAGTTACCATTGGCCTTTCCTTCCTTACGTTCAACAGCCCATCCCTTGAACCATGGCATCTTGGCAGATGATTCCAACATGTTGTCTCCATGCCATCCAGAAATTGGCACAAAAGCAACAGCAGCTGGGTTGTAACCAATCTTCTTGATGTAGGAGGATACTTCCTTCTTAATTTCCTCAAAACGGGATTCACTGTATGGTGGTTCAGTGGAGTCCATTTTGTTAACACCAACAATAAGTTGTTTTACTCCAAGGGTGAAAGCAAGAAGAGCATGCTCACGGGTCTGTCCGTCTTTGGAGATACCAGCTTCAAATTCACCAGTACCAGCAGCAACAATAAGTACAGCACAATCGGCCTGCGATGTACCAGTGATCATATTCTTGATGAAATCTCTGTGTCCAGGGGCATCAATGATAGTAACATAGTACTTGGCGGTTTCAAACTTCCACAGAGCAATATCGATGGTGATACCACGTTCACGTTCTGCCTTCAGTTTGTCAAGTACCCATGCATACTTGAAGGAACCTTTTCCCATTTCCTGGGCTTCCTTCTCGAATTTTTCGATGGTACGTTTGTCAATACCACCACATTTGTAGATCAAGTGTCCAGTAGTAGTAGATTTACCAGAATCTACGTGACCGATGACGACAATGTTAATGTGAACCTTTTCTTTACCCATTTTGTAATCTGTAAGGAAAGGATCTGTTTAATTTCACGAAAATTATAATGAATCGAAGCTGTGCACAAGGTATACTTTGATAACTGACCGAATGAGACGACAAAGCCGTATACAACAGGTGGAATTTGCACATGATGACCCTTGCAAAGGGTCAAGTCGGCATCCGGTAAAAAGTTGCAAAATCTCAATATTCTAGGGAAACAAGCGACACTTTCGAAATAATAACCACTTAAACGCAAAAGCAAATGATTCGTTTCTGAATTAATGCGAAAATCACTACAATTTCAATCAATTTCAGCATATGGCGGCCATTATAGAGAAGTGCAGTGTACACGTGGTGACGAACACTTTTTCACAAATTCATCGAAAACTACGATAGCTACCCCAAATAAAATATGATGAAATGGTTTACTTACTTTTTGGAATAAATTAAATGCAACTGTTGGAATTAAACTTAAAAGTTAAAGGAACACTCTTGAAATTCAACAACTTAACGACTCGGCGACCACACTGAGCGACGAGCTAGTTAGAAAGAAGGATGATGTGAAGTTGCGCTCTTTTCTTTTCCCCGTTGGCTGCATGCCGTCACGTCCTCGATAGTGGCTCCATCTATTTCTCGTTCCGGTTTGGCGCGTAAAATTCAAAATTCAAACTCACCGAAGTGCATGCGGTTTATTTATTAACAAAGGTAGAAGGTGAAGAATTGATAATGAATCAAAATAAAGCAGGTTGTCTCTGGAAAATTTACTACTTTATATCGACGATTTGATAATGAAATGTCATTAGTTTTGTGTTATTTAACCGATCTCATCAATCGCATTCACCTTGAAATTTCAATATAGGTAACTAAAAAGTACAAATCCTTGACTAAAAAGTAAAAATAACAACAGTGTCCCCCATGATAATGCCAATAATGCACTCTATAGACACAGATTAACAAATAGAGATTCCTTATCTCAAACCAGAATATATGTTTTTTTAAGCAAAAATCATTTGATTATAGATTTCTTGAGTATAAATAAAAATTCTATAGGTAACCTAAATAAACCTCTCATGGTTTAGTCAAAATTTTTGTGGTGTGCCTTCATACTTCCATGGACACCGTTTGTATTGTTTTTGTAAAGTCCAAGAAAATCTCTCGTGAGCTGATTCCCACGCAAAAATATAGGTTAAACAAAAAAATGACTGATTTTCCTTTTCCCCCGATCAGGATCATTTCATTTTTCCAAAATAGGACCGACCATATGACCGAGTATAAACACTTTAAACCAACCTCATCTATAGAAAGGATAATATACGGTGTCGGTGTCTATATTTTGGGTGCTAACTTTTTTTCAATGAAGTGGTGCACATATTGAATGAAAACCATTATTCTTTGAGGTCAATCTTTGAGGAGCCGTACATTTTCCCTGAGAAAATTAATTTCAAACCCATTATGTTATTGACATATTATGGTTATTGATATGTGAACTCTTCTCTTATTTCCGTTCAGACAAAAAACGGTCACGCGGAAGACTTTTCGGTAAAGTTTAGAATCACACGCCATGTACAAAGTGATGCAATATTGGGCAATGTTCTCCAATGTACAGGAATTACGACTTTACTGAACGTAAATTCTGACATAGATAACTCAATCTTAGTTACCTATTTATTATTATACAAATAATACCTAGGTTTTGGCACCTATTGTAATTTCTATCTATATTTTCAAAGGGATATACCTATACCTGAAAAAAATTACCTTTATTTTATGCTTTTGAATCTTCGCCATACCATAAAAATCGCATAGCAGGAATTATGAAGATATGAGAAAAAACAGGGTGGTTCATTTTCTCAGTTTTTATCAGATATTTTTGGAAGGTATTTTGCATAATTATTTTGAAGAATAAATTCAGATGGTTCTACCAGCTAAAATAATACTTTCACACTAGCCGAAATAAGGAGAGGGGAATAAAAAAATGTGTTTCACTAATATAAAAATATATTTTGAAAAAATATTTATAACTATAAAAACCCTTTTGAAGGCACATTCCTTTGGTTTTAATATTAAAACCCAGATATTGCCTATAGAAATCACAACCAGTACAATATTTAATCAAACTTTCACACTCATATACACATAATCCAAGTTTAATTAAATTTAGAGATCAAAGGATTACTAAAATGTACATGACTGTCACGTATGAAAGTTTTTAAGGTCACAATATCACCAGGAGCATTTTTGTTATTATGAAATTTTGCAATAATTTCTAGTTGGCAGAAACAGATAATGTTTGGAAGTGATAAACAAACAAAGAATCACTTCAATTTGTTTATAGCTACCATTTATAAATAGAAAAACAAAGTATGATACTTTGTAATGTTTGTACACCTATAATCATAAATATTTACACACCATTAAAATAGACATGGATGAATATTTTGGGTATATTTTTATCAAAAATTACAAGGCACAAAAATTTAATGAGGGAGGTATAGAAATTTATAGATTCTTGCCTAAGTATTGAATTGGACCATTGTCGAGAAGTTATCATACAAATAATATCTGGTAACACTAAAGGTTATTATCTTTCAAGAATGCCAGAATTCATTGTCAACAATATTGATCCAGAACATTTATGAATGATTCTAAATAAGATATTTAAAAAGCGTGATTGAAAATAATGGAAGCAAAATCAAAATAAACAATTATATTTCAAATGCAAATTGCGCTACAATGAATGAATGCATGAAAAATAGTTCAAAATATCCATATTGGATAATTGTTATTTTCACAATCATAGCTGTTAAACAGTGTGAAACAAGAGTATTCTATAATTCAATTAACAAACAGTTTATAACAGAAACAACGAAACAACGATTTTAAATAACTCAGTTAAATTAGTTTGTAACCACCAAATAGGCCTTTTCATATACAGTGTGTCCCACTTACCATGCTCACCATGGGTATCTTTTTAACGGTGAGAGATACTAGGTCGGTTGAATGACACTAAATGTGGAGTTTGTCAAGGCCAACTATATAGGGAAAAAATATTTTGATAAAATCTATTCGTTTTTGTTTTATACGCAAAAAACAGATTTTGATCATTTTCATGTCTCCTCTGTAACATCTTTATTTATGAAAATATTCAAATAGGAATTTCACATTCTCATTGCAGTTTTTCAAAGTAATTTCGAAAATAATATGAAATTTATACCAACTCTCCTAGAATTTCAGATATCAGCACCAACTTTAGTTTTTCAAATGTAGGTCATAGCCCACTATGACTTAGTTACAAATAACTTTTTTTTCTCTTTCAGATGATATGTCGCAGTAATAGTTTTGTGTTGATAACAACGGAGTTATCGTCATTTATACAAAAACAAGAAATTATTTAGAAGCCGCCATCTTGAATTTATAAATTTTAGCAAAAAAATCATGATCTCCGACCTCAAAAACCCCCACTTACCAATTTTGAATGGAATCGGACCAAATCTTGTCCGCCATCTTGGAGCAGCCATTTTTTTAAATTTCAACAGAAATTCCATAACTCCGATTAACTTGAAATTTGGCAGGTGTTCATAATTTCGGTGACAATACATTATGGAATTTTTGTTGAAATTTAAAAAAATGGCTGCTACAAGATGGCGGACAAGATTTGGTCCGATTCCATTCAAAATTGGTAAGTGGAGGTTTTTGAGGTCGGAGGTCATGATTTTTTTGTTAAAATTTATAAATTCGAGATGGCGGCTTCCAAATAATTTTTTGTTCTTGTATAAATGACGATAACTCCGTTGTTATCAACACAAAACTATTACTGCGACATATCATCTGGAAGAGAAAAAAAAGTTATTTGTAACTAAGTCATAGTGAGCTATGACATTCATTTGAAAAACTAAAGTTGGTGCTGATATCTCAAATTCTAGAAGAGTTGGAATAAATTTCATATTTTTTTCAAAATCACTTTGAAAAACTGCCATGAGAATGTGAAATTCCTATTTGAATATTTTCATAAATAAAGAAGTTACGGAGGAGACATGAAAATGATCAAAATCTGTTTTTTGCGTATAAAACAAAAACAAATAGATTTTATCAAAATATTTTTTCACATTATAGTTGGCCTTGACAAACTCCACATTTGGTGTCATTTAACCGACCTCGTATCTCTCACCGTTAAAAAGATACCCATGGTGAGCATGGTAAGTGGGTTACACTGTAGATATACTTTTGAGACGCATGCGCTCGTTTTTAGATCCAAAATTTGATTGGGTAATGAAAAAGTGAAGTCTGTTCAGACACAAAATTCTGATTGGCCGTTTCGAATATGGCGGTTTTTATTGACATTCTGTTAAATGTCAACCACAATGAGCATTCGCCATTGAGAAACAACAATAACAATATAGTATTTTGGATTCTATATTCCTGGGGTGTATTAATTGTATTATATTGATTTAAATCGAAAAAACGTTACTTATTCCTTACTAAGCAGTATGGTGCAAGTGTTTCGGTGAAAATGGCCGCCACTGTCGTTGGATGCGAGATATAAACACAGATAGTCATTTGTCATCCTAATGAAAAGGCCTATTGAATGAAATTAAAGCTTCCTCCATTGCTAAATAACGAATTTCCAAATGTTCCTAGACAATGGAAATATTTTAGGACCACAAAAATACAATGGAAATATCGTGAAATATACATGGTGATCAAATCATATATTGAAAACATACTCGATGGGAACTTTCTATAGTCACAAGGGCAGCTAGTGTCCTTTCTTCATTCATGCCTCATAAGACATCGCGATATAATATATATAAAATATATAATTTTCTTAACTCTAAAAATATATAAACAAACATCAAATGATATGTGTGCACGATGTTTTTTTCATTTAATACTGAACAATTCCAGTTATTTGATTATTGTCTGAGAAATTATTTTCATCTTTTTAGAGTTACAATGTTGATAAGACATGTTTATTTTTTGATAAACTTTTGTTTACCGCATCAAGTTTAACTCGATGATACACATGATGAACCGAAACTCAAACTCACTGATCTCACAGTATTAAATGAACCCAAAACGGTACAAAACATTTTATATTTGTACATTTTTTTTGTCAAAATAAAATCTAAACTAATGTAGCAGTGGATCTGCTCTTTGAACTGGCTCTAGTGTTATTATTGTTTTTCCTTTGATCTTTGTACCATGCATTCATTTCATCTGAAAAATGTTCAGAGACTGCAATTTGTTCAAGGTCCAGGCTTGCATTCAAGCTGCCAGACTCCTCCAGGGCTGTCCTACTGGTCATGCTGTGAAAACAATTTCATTTAAAATGAAATAAAAAAATGCACATACCTATATTGACGAGAAACTTTGTTAAAAAAAAACCTGTGGAAAATCTGGGTTCTACGCATCAAATTGAAAAAAAAATGTATTTTCCTTTTCTTTTACTGTTCTGACAGATTTTAATGAAATTCTGAAAACGATTTCATGACATTTTTCAAACTTTTTGGATATTACAGATTTTGTTATCACAAATTGAAACCTTGTTTTGTTATCAGATTCTGATCATTATTAAATCAATAATTTATTAGAGCATTCCCGGAAATATGCTTGGTGTCATAATCAAATGAGAATACCAACAGCTGACAAGATGAATTGATTTCAAAAATGTAATAGAATCAATTATTTCCTTTTGCCATTTGTATGACTGTTCTTCTTGACTTCAAATATTTCCGAATATACCGGTTGTTTCTCAAAAGTGGCTCACCCCTATAGGTCGCGTGCACGATGACCGCCTTGGAGGTAAAATATTGAAACACAACCTCACTCTTCTGTGAATTATTGGAACACAACCTCACTTTTTGTATTTGTTTACAGAGGAATCAAACAATTGAAATAGGTTTTCACAATATATATTGGCATACAAATCGTGTTTTTTGCTCTATTCATTAATTCAAGCATGCCTTCGCATTGTGCTGTTGTACAATGCACAAAAAATGCAGCAAGAGAAGAAGGAATATGATTTTTCAGGTAAATAGTAATCTCACATAGTTTTCATTATGAAATGTTGTCATTCCTTATTAAAATTCCTTCTGCCACTTCTGCAATACAAGCTAATACTGCTAATAGATTGAAAATGTCTACAACACACACATGATCATATTTCATCAGCATGTCAGACCAGTCCTCCCATTTGATTGCATGAATCCAATCTTCTTGCATTATTTTAGAAATTTCACGAGTGTTTCTATAAGCTCCTATTGCAGAAGGAATTCCGATGAGAAATCAGAGAAATTACCAAATTTCAAAAATGACGTGAGTGACTATAGTATGTAGGTACTTACTTTTAAATCATAATGTACCAACCGGATTCCTTCCTCTTCATCTGCAGTTTTTGTACATTGAACAACAGCACAATGTGATGACATGACCGAATTAATGAATAGCCGAAAAATACGATTCGTATGCCAAAATAATTGTGAAAAACTATTTCAATCACTTGTAAACAAATGAGAAAAGTGAGGTTGTGTTTCAATGTTGTGCCTCCAGGGTCGGTCATCTGACAGTTCTTGCACGCAACCCATAACTTTTTTGTGTACAGATAAACAAATGCAATTCGGTGTGTAAGTATAGCAGAGAAATAGGCATTTCTTGATGCATTAAATTGTTTAATGTCACTCTAGGTTTGACCGGAAATTACCCCTACTTTCTTATTTAAAATGGAACACCTGATATATTTTTACTTATTTCAATAGAAAATCACAGTGTGACATTTGTCACTTTTTGCTTTTATCAAATTTTCAATCTAGAGTGTCATTACAAGTTATGTTCAACGTTTATCTCAAATATCGATTGTGTGGTGTCAAGTGGTTCCTAACAAAATGACAGCCTTCCTTGTTACCTTGGAAAAAATTTAGTTTACATCATAGATACGGTTTTTTAAACTCTGAATGAACCCGTAAAAGAAATGAAAGTAAAACTTAATCAAAACTATTCTCCCCTGATTCATCCGGTATGTACTATGTCGTGTCCACTGATTGAATAAATGAATCACACCTAGAAGATGACAACACAAAAAAATTGTTTGTAGTTATGCTCTTGATGATAAATGATTTTATTTTTCGATCTGATATAAATCAGTATAGTAAATGGTTTTTTTAGAGGTTTGTTTTTTAAATTACTAGAGACACTATCTAGTGAAAATCAATTTGATAGTTGCCAGATGATTAAACTATAGATATATATATATATATACAGGGTAATTGGTAATTCTATACATTCCTTAGGAGATGTGATAGGGAAGGTGGTAGGGAGTGAATTCCAACCCAAATATGCATTTTGCAAAAGTAAAAAGCTTTTGAGATATGTACGTTTTTCTGTTTATTTATTAACAAACAAAAATTCGCCTCTGAATTTACAATTTATCTATGCTCTAAACTATTTCTGGATTTTTTTGATTCCAAGCATAAGACCATAGTGTTGATCATGTATTCTAGTTGAAATGTTGAGAAAATGTAGAGCAGATTATCGGGAAACTAATTTTTAAACCATCAAAGTCTACCTTTCGGAGATAAACAGAAAAATTTAAAAATCTCATAAACTATCGACATTTGCATATTAGGGTGCACGTATTCAAAACGCCCCGATAACAGGCATAGACAAGCTTTTAGACCAATCAGGTCGATTTTGGGCTTGGCGGTAAATTCGAATCGCGGATCTTGGCGATTTTGAATCACCCAGTCATACATCGAATAATGATCAATGAATTATTTCCCAAGTGTCTGGTAATATTGATTAGCCTGAAAATATATTTTATATTCAAATGCTTTTATTTTTATTCCGTTTTCGGGAAAGCTGGCTTTCTAATTTTGAAATTCTGCTTCTTGATAGTAGATTTTTGAGGGCGCCCACCAACACTACTATTTTTACCTGAAAGGCAGGTTTTATGCCTTAATAGTGAAGTTGGTTGGATAGGAATTCTAGACCTCAACTTGTTTCTTTGATTTATCATTCCTGATAAATATAAATAGTGATTATAAATTCAAGTGATTAATAAATAAAAAAGGGGGAGTACAATATCTCACATAAAACTACCTACCTCTCAACTCTCCAACAAAAACAGTCAAGGCTTTTGAATTTTTTATTGGTGAACGTTTCAGATATTGAGAAAATATTTCGTTCACCACATTAATACTTTCACAACCATCTGAAATACAGTGTTCCTCATTTAATATTTTTTCCGCTCTCACATCAGGAGATGGTTCATCAACAAATGGCTTATCATTTTCGGAATATATTTTTGTGGATATTATTTCTTCATTGCCACCACAGGATGATGATGGCCCTCTGGTGCTACTGTCATTTAAAAGTAGTTTGAGCCAGTTTGTGGGGGGCACATTGCCTGTGGCAATAAAGAAATGAAATTGTCTTGTTCTCTCATTATTAAACTTTCTAATTAATTCATCAGAGCTCACAAACTCAACGATGTGATTGGTCTAAAAGCTTGCCTATGCCTGTTATCGGGGCGTTTTGAATACGTGCTATCAGGGCTCACTTCACTCCTTACCATCTCTCCTACCACATCTCCAAAGGAATGTATCGAATTATTAGATTACTCACTTGTTGGTGTATATTGGGGAAGTAGGCGAATATGGAGACGGTGAGTTCTCCTCGAATGTCTCCCCCAAACTCCTCTGAGCATTCGGATTACCACCGTTTTGCCCTCCATTAGGTACGTCGGTCCGCTTGACCGGCGATTTCTTGAATTTCGTTGAGTATTTATAAAAATCGGACATTTCGAAGGGCTTCGTCTCCTCGTGGTACGGTTTGCAGTGACCTGCTTGCACTACCATGCAATTCTTCGGTATGTTGTTGTTCAGTATTTCGATGTTCGGGTCGGTCGTCTTCAGCGATGGATTGGATTCCGCCGGTATTTCGATAGCGGGTTTTTCGTCGGTTCGCAATGGGGGCGACGCTAATCGTTGTGGGGTCGGAGCCCTGGGCTGGGCGGCAGCTACTGGGCCATCTAAGGAAGTCTCCACCCTGAAAGATTCAGTCGAAACATTTTCAGGAATGTCTCATGAATTTCACGGTGTTTGTTGCCAAACTCTGAGGGTTGGACGTAAGCTACAATTCAAATTGCAAATTCGAGATGGCGGATCCAATATGGTGGACGAGTTTTGTAATTATTATGATCTGATTCCATTTAAAATTTGTATCTGGGGGTTTTCTGAGTCGGAGATTATGATTCCTTCGTCAACATTAGGAAATTCAAGATGGCGGATCCAATATGGTGGACGAGTTTTGTAATTATTATGATCTGATTCTATTTAAAATTTGTATCTGGGGGTTTTCTGAGTCGGAGATTATGATTCCTTCGTCAAAATTAGGAAATTCAAGATGGCGGATCCAATATGGTGGACGAGTTTTGTAATTATTATGATCTGATTCTATTTGAAATTTGTATCTGGGGGTTTTCGGGGTCGCAGATTATGATGCCTTCGTCAAAATTAGAAAGTTCAAGATGGCGGATCCAATATGGCAGACGAGTTTTGTATTTATGATCCGATTTTATTAAAAATTGGTATCTTTGGGTTTACGGGGTCGGATATTATGATTCATTCGTCAACATTCGAAAAATTAAAGATGGCGGATCCAATATGGTGGACAAGTTTTGTAATTATTATGATCCGATTCTATTTGAAATTTGTATCTGGGGGTTTTTTGAATCGGAGATTATGATTCCTTCGTCAAAACTAGGAAATTCAAGATGGCGGATCCAATATGGCAAACCGAGTTTTGTAATTGTGATCCGATTTTATTCAAAATTGGTATCTGTAGCTTTCCGAGGTCGGAGATTATGCTTCTTTCGTCAACATTTGAATTTAATTGAGTCAACCGTACGATAAATACTAAACTGACATTTCAAAGCCTCATCTTACGTAAGTAAGGGTCTGCTGATAAAATGCTGTGATTGCGAAAGTGAAAGTACGTTAATTTGTAAATGTAAATAATTCGAAACCATGGAAAAATGATTTTTTTTATAGGAATTTTCAGAAATTTTCGAATAAAATAGAAGGCAAGGATAAATTACGTTGAAATGCTGACATACTCTCCATATCCTTTGAGCGGAAGAAAGGATGTGAATGATAGTATGTAAACGGATGTCTTGTCAAAAATATGAATTTGATTTTATAGAGAATTCCAAATGTAATTCTGGATTGGCCAAGAAATATGTGTATAGGCATAAATCATGAAAACTAACCATTCTTTTTCTTTATGTCTCTTCAAAGTTTGTGACCCATCAAAAGGTCTATTATCACTTCCGAATGATGAACTGTCATCTGTCGGGTAGACGCTATCCACTGTCACAGCTCCAACACTGCCTAATGATTGTGTACGGACAAGTTGTCCCTCATCCTGAGATCTTCGGTTTATCACCTGAAAATTCAATCGGAACTGTGCTCAACATATTCACTAGAGGACATATGTTTACTGATACAGGATTTTTTTAAATGAACATTCTGTACAGTGTGTCCAGTTTTCGATACTTTTGCGTGATATCTCAGTTATCTTTGGAGATAGAACCTTGCGGTTTTCGCGGTCCTGTGCCACTTTTTTGTGAAACTCAGATGGCTTTATCAGATTTGGCATAACTGTTTTCGTTTATGAGGTACAGGGCGATTTCGATAATTTATATAATATATACTTTTTGAACCCCCTCTATATCTACGAAGTTTCTCAGCGAAAATGTCAAATTAAAATCATATCCCATAGTGAATTTTACGCAGAATCCAGTGGCACACTCTTTTTTTTTCGACATTAATTCGAATATTTCAATGAATAAGTTACTGAAAAATTAAGAAACTCAATTGTTTTAGTGAATGTTTAATCAGGTGCTTATTCTACAGCATGAACTATTAATTACTATTATATTTGTAGCTATCAGGTACCTAAGTTTTGTGTTTTGTTAGTTAATTTGGTATTGTTTTTGTCCTCTTCACGGAAAAATTATTGCCTCAATTGGAACTTTTTTTATGTGACAAATCCATAGCCCACTATTGAAATTCAATGTTTTAATGATTTTGGAGCATTTCTGAAAGTTTTATGTCCATACATTATATATTATCATCATTCAATGAGCAAATGAAATACAGGGTGTTCCATTAAAAAATCATGTTTGAGGTGTATCTCCAAAACCATACCCGAAAAAAAAAAAATTGTGCGCCACAGGATTCTGCGAAAACCGCAAGGTTTTATCTCCAAAGATAACTGAGATATCACGCAAAAGCATCGAAAACTGGACACACTGTACATTGTTTGACCGGGTAACATGTTTGAGTGCAAAACACAATTTTTCCGTGATTGAAAAATTATAATATTCTGGTGCTGTGGACACATGTACCATAAGATTTCAAAAAATTACTTAAACAAAGCAAAATTCATTGGTATGAACAACACTACAAACTGGTGTAAATCTCATTCGCAGTATAAAAAACCTTTATTTTTTAAATGTTTATATAAAATCGTATACGGATAATAAGGTGTCTTGAAGGCTATGTTCACACTGAAGGCAGTAATTCATTTTGTATATTTGGGTTTTGCATTGAAAAATCCATGAAGGAATTAAATCAAGCAACAACTCATAATTCTAGAAGGATTGAAATGATGAATCAAATTGTTTGTTTAATTATCTTGCTAACTACTAAAGGTTCTGTATTATATACTAAGTTACAAAGAAAGGTAAAGACTTGGGATTTAAAATTCTATTTCAATTTAATATATTATTTTTCTATGCAGACCTATCTTGGGTCAAATAGAAACTAATTACATTTTCCGCATAATTTAAGAAAGTTTCTTAATTACACCTATTGTCTGCAAAATATGTAAGCAAAAAATTATTATAATACAGTTGATTTAAATGTTTGTCGACCTTCCTTTGTCAATTAGTATACGACAAGGGCACTAACCTGAGATGTTTTCACAGAAGCACTCCTCACTTGACTTTGATAATTAGGAACTGAGGATAAGGTAGCCGACTTATTGTCTATATTTGGCGAGATCCGGCTCGTCATCTTTTTGGTTTTCCTTCTATCCAAACTTCCAAATCTGGAATTTATATTTCATGACAATTTGTTTTGTTTGTTCGAAAAAAAAATCGAAATGAATGAAATATGTACAGGGTGTTTCAGAGTTGTGATGACAAAAGCCTAGGGGAGATTCCTCTAAATAAAATATGAAGAAAAGCCAAGTTAAAAAAAAAGTTTTGGTAAAACTGCATTTAGCATGCGATGGGTTTTTTTTCGAAAATTTTTTTTGGTACCTACGTATTTTTGTCTGAAAAACACGAATTTTATAATGAAAATGTGAACAAACCACTATTTATCAAGATATTTCAAAAAAAGTTCGAAATTTCGACTCCTTTTTCCCCTTGCGTTGGATGCATTTACAGGTACTTGCTTTTCTTATTTTGGCATTGGAGTCATTGGACACTTTATATACTCATGATGTACTTTACTGACACATTTTTATACAGAAAATTCAACAGGATATATGATTTTAATGGTGAGTTTTTCCTATTTAGTGAGCAAGCATACCAGATGACGGCCATTTAATCCATAGGCAATCCAAATACGAGATGTCAAATGTCAATAGATTGCTTTGGAATGACATTACATATGCAATTATTTCAAATGATATTCTTCCTTCTTTTCACTAAATATGGATAAGTCACAAGAAAATCATATTTCTAGTGAATCAATAATAGAAAAAAATGTGGCTTACATTGTGATATATATAAATTGTCCAATGATGAAAAAAGAAGGGTAAATTGTTTTAAATTCAATCCAGATGACAGGCGGAAAAGTAGGGGAAATTTGTAACTTCATAGTGAAATATCTTGATAAATAATGGTTTGTTCACATTTTCATCATCAAATTCGTGTTTTTCAGACAAAAATACGTAAGTACCAAAAAAAATTTTTGAAAAAAAAACCCATCGCATGCTAAATGCAGTTTTACCAAAGTTGGTTATTGATATCTTGAAAAAGTTCAAGTCGATTTGAATGAAATTTTAATAGTTTATTTACAAAATTATCAGACATTTACTAGACCAATTGGATTTGATCCAGAATTTCCAGGGGCGTACCCATAAAACAAGTCTTTTTTTGTGGAAAAAAAGTCACCCTGTTTTTTTTTTCGGGTTCTTCTTAAATATTCAGATGAACCCACTGAAAATATAAACTTTCAGTCTCTTGCTATTTTTTCGTATCTTGTTCGTTTTCGAGAAAGACGGACAATACCATACCTCGGCATATCTCTCTGAACTCCATAAGGCAAAAAACGTACTGGGGACGTACTGGTGCAATATGGGTTATACATTGTATTTATATTTTGTACACTACTTTATTTCTTTATATAGGTACATTAATATAATGCATATCGACTCTGTCAATGAGAACTCTATTTTTCAGACAATAAAGTATATTTTGATTTGATATTTGGATTGATTTGTTACAAACATGAGAGATATTTCAATCACAAAGTATAAAAGTTTCAGCACACCCATTTGAAAACAATGAATTTTCCCCAAACTCACCTTTTATCTGGCTGCCAGGCAGCATCAATCATATTTGAACTGTACCAGACATGTTCTCCATTCCCAGTCTTTTTCCAATACCCACCCAAACCCGACGTCGTTACATTCATTTGTTCATACTGCTGGTGCGGTTGGATCTGATGTGGATTCCTAACCATAACCTCACTCTCATACTGTCGATAACCCTGTTTACTCAGTATGGCATGAGAAGGATAATACTGGGACTTTGGTGAAAGTGACGCTGTGGGACTAGATTGCCTGTTACCAGATTCCGCAAAATCTGAAGCGTACTGCTGATATTGACTGGCACGGTGAGATATCTGGGGACTATGTTGCGATTTTTGGGGACTATGTTGGGACATGAGACTGTGCTGTGAAGAATGTGAACTACTTTGTGACAAGTGAGCATAATGTGGACTATGTTGGGACATGTGTGGACTATGCTGTGGTACTTGTGGGCTATGTTGCGGTAAATGTGGACTGTGCTGCGGTAGATGTGGACTATGCTGCGGTAGATGTGGACTATGCTGAGACAAATGTGGGCTATGTCGCGACAAGTGGGGACTGTTTTGTGGTAAATGCGGACTGTGTTGGGACGAATGGGAACTGTGTTGTGACAAATGTGGACTGTGTTGTGACGTGTGTGGACTAGCGTGTTGGTAGTGTAGGGTGTGTTGCTGTTGAGACTGCATTTGATAGTTGTGCATCATGTTGTACTGGAATACATTCTGATGCTGTATACTGTAGCTTGGCGACGGATAAATGTTGTTTATATTTTCACGCCTGAAATATAAACAAGGTTTTGAATTGACTAGGCCGTTACTTAATGGAATTCAAAGTAGATGAATAAACTTAACAAAGGATAAGTTTTCCACAAAATTCTCAAAACACATGTTGATGTTTTTACACAACTCTAGGAAAATATTTATGTACAAGGACGTTTACCTTTCCATATATTTGTTGTACCCATTGAGGCTTAGTCTATAAAATCCCGAATTCAAAAGATCCTCTTGTTTTGAGGATTGATGGCCAACATGAGGTATTTCTGACAACCTATATGTCGGTTTGAGGGTGTCTCGTGGATACCTGTACTCAACAGTGCTCGGCACATTGTGCTTTAGCGAACACAAGCTATGTCGGGCATCTGATTTACCATATGGATCATTGATAATTGTGCTAAGCGACATGTTATCATCAACTGGAAATTAAAAAAAAAAATGGTTTCATCTATAGGTACTTACAGGAAGGCAAATGCAAGATGATGACTTCAACAGTCATGGAACATATTATGTAGCAACCAGGTATTGAGAATAGCATATGCATGAAATTTTAATTCATATAGCAAATTAATTTTCTTTATTCATAAAATACACCAAATTGATAAATCATACATTATTATTGATTTTTGACCACAACTGATGATCTGAAGATTGGCTTCCATTCATGATGTTGACGTCATTATGACGTAGTTGTCTCCCACCACCTTGCCCTGAATACTGCAACTGGTTTCAACAGGGTATGTGAATGAAAAAGGCCTCAGATGTGCCTGTTTTTTTTGTAAACACATCATAGAAATCATATAAAAAGATAGGTATGGGGTTTTGAAACAATGAAGAACAATATTATGAGGTCAGTTTTCCTGTGAAAAAAAATCCTTAAATAATTTCATGAAGAATGTATACCCCTTCTCATTTTGATAAAAACCCACGGCACTGTCCAGAAGGATGTATGTCTCTAAAAAACTGATCATATTGATGGTAATGATGGAATCTACTTATTTCCATCATTTTGATGGTCATACATTCCGGTCAAAATTTGGTAAGGATGGCAAGACAATAGCTATATGATATAGAGGGAGGGCATTTGAACATGCTGTAGATTTATCGATTTTCAATATTTTCTCATGAAACTAGGTACAGACCTATTTCAGAGGATGCCAATTCCAGTGGTGCACTCGAATTTCTAAAAAAAAAAGGACTTTTTCAGCCTCTGCATGTGATGTAGTAGGCCTTGGTTTGAAAAAAAATGGACACCTCTTAGCTCCAAAATACACCTTTTCTCCCTCTACATCTCAGAAAAAAAAGTGAAAATTGCTTCATAAATAATATATTCATGAGGGTGGCTCACTTTCAAATGGGCCATTCTGAATATGTATAATAATAATACAAATATTGACACCAGTTTTTATAATATTTTCGAAGTTTTGAAATTCTATAAAATATACAGAACAGAACAAATTAAAATAAATGAAGTTGAGGATCATGAAGGGGCAGACATACTGTGATCATGATTTTGAAGTGATTTTTGATGTTTTATGACCTCTGTATACGCCCAAAGGAACCATGAATGGGGATAGTGAATTCCCATTTCACATATGGCAGGTGAAATAATATTCCTAGCATCACTATGGAGTTTGCTAATATACCAAGAGTCTACAGATTGCTGGCCCTTAGACTATATGTTGAAATTTGCTAGGTAATTGATAGTGGAGCTCTGCTGATTCTTTTTTCCAACATCAACAACATGCATTATGCCAACAATGGACAAAATATATCTTTCACATTGTGGGACAGATCCAGTATGGAAATACAAACTGTAAATTACATCACCCACCTGCATCTGGAGTCCTCAGTTTTTTCTTCTGTTTGAGGTGTTCTGCTGCAGCTCTCTCTTTTAAAACAGACAATTTTTCTTGTAGATCCATGCACTGTTTTTTGTATTTTTGATATTCAGTTCTATGCTGTCTCTTCATGGTCTATAAAACAAAATCAACTCAAGTTACTATTGTATTCAACATAACATGTGAACCTTATTTTTTTCTCCATTCAAATGAATTTATTGAAACAGCAATGTTCTCATACCTTGCTCATATTATGCTCATTTGCTAAACCTAGAGCAGCATCAGCCATATTAGCATGTACTTGAATTTGCAGTTCCAGTTCAGCAATCATTTCATCTTTATTATTATTGGCATTTTTTATAAGTTTCTCAGGCAACTGATAAGCTGTGCCAACTCTACGTCTTATGAGTGGAGCAGTTTCTCCTGGCTCTAATGGCATTTCTGGAGGAGTTATTCCAGTCAGTTCTGCTTCCTAAAAACAGAACAATCTTAGGAGTGCACAATTTTATTTATTTTTCAATTTCACTTTAATTGCATGAAACTATACCTGAATACATAGTTCTCTCAATTCTAAATTTCTTTGAGTGAGAGTGTCTTCTATGTGTTTTTTCCTTTCTTGCAATGCTGTTATTCTAGTTGCATTGATGTTTCTTGTTGCTCCCATGGTGTTGGCTTTTTCCTCTATGTTAATATCATCTTCTGAAAATAAAAAATCTATATTATACATTTATCACTGATCAGCTTAAATCTTGATAAAAAATTTTCTAGTAAGTAGACATTATCCTCTGCATTATCAAATATCTTGAGTAAATAAATGAATAATACTGAAATGACTAATGAACTCAAATTTCAGAAGGGTGTATTCTACTATATAGAAAACAAGTTAAGATCATGAAATTTATAATTCCTAGATTTCAGCATGCATTGTAAGAATGTTTACCTACCAACACTACTGTGAGGATCAAGCATTTCCTTATCAACAAGAGTCTATATCTTTAAATTAATCTTTCCATATTAATGTTTCCTTATCTGCTCCCTAGAATCATAATTTCCATCTCCATAATGGAATCAGAAAGAACATGCAAGAACATCAGAATATGATACGAGCATCATACTATTCACTGAAAGACCTGAAACAACGTGGAAACAACTGAATCTGAAGATAGAACCAAGATAGAACCTAGCTATATTTCAATTACCTTATTACTGTTATCTTCCCTTAGAACACATTGTTGATATTTATAGCGAGAATACTCTTTTTTCTGATTTGGATAGAAGAATAATGGATCTTCAATATTCTTATTTTGATGACATATTTATTTAATCTATTAAATAAATTACAGTATCTTGTATCAATCTCGTTTGCATTTAAAAACACTCCTCCAACACATACAATACAGACATTTGTTAGGAGGGGAACAAATTGCCTCATTTGCAAATGACAATTGTGAAATTATTGACATGAATGACATGTGATCTTCATGTGATTCGAGTGATAGCTCTATCGGTTCCGCGGTGACTTTTTTAGAAGTGCCTAAATCTTTCGAACCATTCTCATCTAGTGATGTTGACATTCTAGATTTTCCGTGATTATTTTTCTCATTGTCTGCTAAATAGAGAAAAAATCTAGTGAGCTGGAACTACCCAGCTCACTAGATTTTTTCTCCATATTTAGCAGACAATGATTTTTCTCAATAAAATTGTGCCGGCTTGCTTAGGGACCAAGACCCCGACTGCAAGTTGTAAGTTGCAGTGATTTGAATTACTGCTAGTTGTATGTTGCAGTATTTTGAATTATTGCGAATTGTAAGTTGCAGTAATTCAATTGCTGCACGTTACAAGTTGCAATAATTCCTTTTATTTTTTTATTTTTGATGACCCTTCTACGCTTTCGTACATATTGCATGATAAATTGATCTTCATTATACTGGTAGTGGAGAGAAATTCTGAATTGTGAAAACCCAATGACGATTCTGAGAATATGCCTTTTCAAGAAATAATTTAGTCGTCATGCTAATCAACACAAGCAGTTGCCCCCATAACACGCACCTAGATTATTCGTTGCATCCTGTCTCTAGACGTTTCTTAACATGCAGGCGCTTCTTGGATCTTTCTGATTGGTCTATAGGAATCGCCTATGCATATGTTTGGGCAAAACGGATTCGTGCTTTCGTTGTCTAGTCATCTTGAAATCTTGACAAGAATGACAAGTTGACAATGACAGGTAATTTGTTTGTGTTTGTGATTTATTACGATACTTGACAATCTTGACATTTCTGATATTCTAAAAAACATCGAGAAAGCAAAGCAGTGAAGTGATAAGTGAAATAAAAATTTCTTATTAAGCCCTAAGTTATCCAAAATGTTATCGTATTGAATTTCTAGGAGTACAGTTTGTGTTTTCCGCATTATTGACTTGTGTTGTATCTCCCAAAATTGGATTGTGTGGTGGTAAATTTCACCTTAAGTTGATTGTCTACGTATGTTGTCAATTCCGAGAACTGTTTTCAGAATGGTGCCTCATAGAACATAAGTATGATATTATTCTAGTTTATTTTGCAAAATTTTATATAATTGACAAAGTGGACTATTTCCTCATCAATTCTCATAAAATGAATTGCTGATGAAGTTATCAATAAACCTGAATTGCTCTTATCCGAATCTGTTTGATAATATTAGTTGTTTTTGTTTTCTTGCAATGGTAATATTATTGACAAGTTTTGAAGCTTTCCTTACCTTCAATGGAACTTCATAATAATTTCAATATTCTATTATCACCAAATACTAGAATTCTTTGATTGAATAGGTAGTTTTATTAATAGGGTTTGAGTTTAATCCTTCAGCCATCAAAACGATTTTCAAGGAAATAATAAAACGTCACACAAATTATTTGAAATTGAACTTGAATGGGTATCTCCACTTCTCAGAAAATTCTTAGAAACTGTATTTATAGGTATTCAGATTGAATTAAGATTAATATGTTGCATAATAAATTATATCAGTTGTTAAAATGGTATGATAATTTGCAACAACTGGTTAATAGACTGTCAATTGTTGTTAAAAATGTAACCTTTTTTAAATTGGCTGTTAGTAAAAATGTGTACTATTATTCATTTCCCAGCTCATAACAGAACTAAAGTAGCTACTTAATCCATCAAAAGGTGCATTACTAGGCAAATGTAGCATTGCTAGGCATAAGTAGCATTACTTAACTAGGCAGTCTCATGTCATGTCTCATTTCTTCACTAGGCAGTCCATGTTTGCTACTGCTGGCAGTCAGCAGCAGATTTTCTGTGATAAAATGAATATCCCTCCATGTTCCCTGAGATATTTGAAGAAAGAATTATGTTTATCAGGCATTTATAAGCTGTTCCATTCAAATCATTAATACTATCTACTGTTTATAACACCCTGGTCTAGTAGGTGTTGACCTATAATGTGCTTCATTATTGAAATTAAAAATTTTTTTTGGTCCTGTGATTTTTTGAAATAGTCCATAATTGTTATTCTGTTTATATCATTAAAAATTGTGAGAAAATTGCATAATTCCTACATCCACAAAACTTTCATATTTTTCAGATAAAAAGTACTGAAGTTGTTGTAATGGACAAACCAAATGTCAAGTATTTTTTATTACTATTATTTTCATGCTGTGCCTGGACTAGAGAATCAAAGCATGACCATTGCCTAAAACATTTGGATACTTGTGGATGTGAGTTGATAATCACTTTTATTCATTGGATTCATTTCATGTCTTGTTTTTTTCATTTTTAGTTACGGTTCCTAGAGGAGATATAGTCCTTGAATATGGCCAGCCTTTGAATATAACTTGTAATATGTATGAGGATATTGCTGAAAAATATGGAGAAAATGCAAGTTCTGGTCTGTATTTTACCCATGGGAACCAGGTCATACCACATGAAATGGTAAAAAACTATCATCATTTACTTCAATCAAAATATTGATATCAAATGATTAAGATTATATATAATGATAAGTGCATGAATTATTTGATTTTCATAGCAATTTGACATTTCTTACACCAACTTTAGAAGGCCATGTGAAATCTATGACATTTCAGTAGAAGTAGACATGCTCTTTTTATCATTGAACAAGATTTTTTATCAATATTATCCCATCATGAAACACTGTTATTTAATTTGTATTTTGATCCTTTTTTTCAGGTTGAAATTGTCAATTCTACTAGTATTAGACTTTACATTGAGAGGCCATGGAAAGTAGCAAATGAAAATTTCTACTGCAATTTTAATGAGTCTTTATTTACTCCACACAGTAGAATAACTGAAGTAAATCTTGTATGTATGAATGTAGTAATTGTAGGAGGTATGTCCCATTTTTTCAGAATAATTACATAGTAATTTTCATTAATTAATGCAATGTTGGCTCTGTAATATTTGACTTAAATTTTTAATTTGCAGTTTCTCCTCAGAATGTGACTGATTTTTCCTGCATTGGAAGAAATTATGAGAACTTGACATGCTCATGGACTGAACCTGAAAATTATGTAAAAACACAATATAATCTGTCTTATACCTTCAGTGGACGAGCAGCAAGGTGAGTTTATATTTTTATTGTTCTGCTGGGTTTATTTTCCTTTGACAAGAAATAACAAATGAGTTTGAAATGCTTCTCTTTGACTAATGTCTGGCAATTCTGCTGGTTGAACAGTAAGTACAGTTCAATCAAGGTTCTTGAAATTCTTTAAATAATATGAATTCAAGGAATTATAGGTAATCATCAGTTTCATGATGTTTAAAGGAAAAGTGTTTACCAGACTTCAGTGTTACCCAACAATTATTACACTAACCAAACCAGTTTATTGAGCCCCACCATATGTGTTTTGCTAACTAAGTTAGCATCTTCAGAAGATTGAGAATAGAATATTCAGTTTTGATTAAGAATAGAATATTTAGATTTGATCTTCTGAAGATGCTAACATAGTTAGAGAAAAAGGTGTTGAAGCATTTAAAAAATCAGTTTGGTTAGTGGTGAAACAGTGTGATTATCCTGCCAAAGGTTCCAGTCTTTGATATACCAACAATTATTGTTTGCCCAAATTGCCTTCCCAGATATCATTTACCTATACATTACCTTGAGCAAGACCTCAAGTATACTTTTAAAAACTATTCAGGTGATTTTGAAATAAAGTTACATTTTTTAACCAAAGTATTTCCTATAGCCTTGAAGTTGAAAAGCTATTTTTTTCTTGAAAATTGGGTTGAAATTTCTGTAACTTAAGTTCATTTTTAGCCTTTAACATCAAATGATTATGCAGTATTTCAAAATCACCAGTATATCTTTAAAATGGTGAGGTAAATGATCTGTGAACATTTTTGGCATTCTGTTTTCTTCCAATGAATTTTGATCAATGATTCATGAAGGATATTCAATGAATTGCTTGAGGAAGAACACATTCACATTTTTTTACTATCAAAACAGGACGTGCAACAAAGTTAGGGACCCAAAGGGCAGAGAAAGAAAAACTAAAATCCCGAAAAATGGTCAAACGTGAGTACAGTTTGTGTTCGCCTAAACCAAAATTTGTGTCTTAAACATGCTTTCAATTTGTTCAAGAAATCTAATGTCTGTCTCAGTGAACATCAGTATGTAGTATTCATTGGGGCAATATATGCTTGGTGAAATCATGTAGATTTGTATGTTTCCAAGCCTATAAGATCAAGTCGGAGTTCAAACGATCTAAATATTTCATTCATTTCATACTATGAGTATGGATGTTGGTCATACTTCCAAAGATTTATTCTTTGTGTTAGTTTTCTAGTTAATCCTTTCAAGCAACTCACCTTACAGAACTCCGCCTTGAGACATCAATATTCCTCCAAATTTTGTTCCTGGTATGCGGATTCATTTTTTGTTGGTGTGGAAAGGACATTTGTATTTCTGAGGGTGATTTTTCACAGGTGATGAATTGAATGAATTTGTTAAGTCAATTTTCGTGAGAACGGAAATTTGTCAACTGACAACGGAATTTTGTCAACTGACTTAGAAAACATTTGCTTTTTCATATTATTATTTCAAGTCCATTAAAAAATCATTAAAATATATGAGTATATTTTTGAAAAGGCTCAAACAGAAAAAAATCTATATGTATTTGTCTATTCCTCTATGTAAGCATATCACTTATTCCTTATTTACCCCCTAAGTATCTAATAACCTTTCAGTTTGTGGATGTAAACTAACTTTTGTTGTTCTATTGTTCTACAAATCAACAATACCTTCATTGAAATGAGGGATTGGTTTCTTGTTGAAGATAATCTATTGAGATTATGAGAAGTAACCATGTTTCATTACAAAAATTGACAATTATTATTGTGAATATTCATGAGATGATGTCAATGTTTTTGTTGGAACAGTAATAAAACTGGGTGAAAATTGATAATTTGCAATGAAAAACATGGCTTCAAATTTTCATGAGATTTTTCACTAGTCAAAAACTAGGAAAACATGATAGAGGTGTGAGTATATTTGCAAAATTGATCGAAGGTCACCAGAAATGTACCTAGGTATGTTTATTTTCGTTCAGTAGTAAATATGACTATAGGAACGGATGTATGTATTGTAATTGTAAATAAATACGCAAATATAATTTATGTTTATTCCTGATAAGAAGAAGCGCGTACCTACTTAGTTTTCCATACATCAAAATATGACGGTCGAATTCGGTTTTATTTTCGCCGGCAAACGGGGGACAGAATGTAGTATCATTATTTACTTCCATCAATGAATTTGCTGATTAGAGCTTCTTGATTATCGAAAACTTGAGGGGTACCCTTTTTATGACCTATGGGATACATTCACGCTTTTTCTTCGGATTTCTGGCCTAGCTTATGCAATTTATGGATGTGACTTGTGTCCTGAGTTCTGCTGAGAAAATCTGCTACTGCCACTATTACACAAAGGGAAATTCAAAGATATTTTTACATATAATGTGTGCGATTTGAAGCTGCATCACCCTCGCATTTTGAAACGCGTTGTTGGATTTCAAAAAACGAGATATTTAATATTTTCAAGGCCCATCAAAGGGGTCCGGCATGTCTAAAATACTGCTTTACAAATTTTGGGAGCAATATTTTCATATAAGGTGAATTTTCCTCAATGGCCATCAATTTACAAATTTTACTGCCCTGTTCAACATCGTTTCGATAATATAGTTACCTACCAAACAGGTGAAGTAGCTATTCAATGTAGACTACATCACATTTACCTACTCAGAGATTGTTTGTCAACTGAAGAAAATGGGATGGAACTTATTCCTAGTCCTGCAATCAATAGCTACTTCACCTGTTTTGATAATCTTCAAGAACTATTATACAGGGTCAGTCGAAAAAACAATAATTTTAAAATTGGAGATTGTGTTATAAACACATGAGATATCATACTGGGTTTTTGTGTAGGGGTACATCGATAATATTTTCTACGTTTTTTTATAAAAAATCCCTGATAGTCGATCTGATAATTTCTAGTAGGTAGGCGTTGAAGATATGAATAAATAGTTCGAATGTTTTACTTTGATTGAATAGAGGTCCTCGATTGAAATATCTAAATATTTGCATATCTTGAAATCGTACTACGCTTCCTGAGATACGAGGATGTTGCGGTTTCAAATCTATGATATAATTGGTATATGAATATTTTCTTAAGTCTCAACATAAATATAAGTTTTAAATTTCTCAAGAATCTTTGTACAGTCGTCTTCAGAGGTCATGTCGCGGTTGGACGGTGTCAGCGCTCTTATTGCAGGAGTTATTAAGAACGCTATTATCGTCCATGTGCGACATGTTTTCTGAAGATAACTGTACACTAGATTCGAAGTAAGTACCTACCCTCAATCCGCTCTGGGATTTGATTTTTGTATTCAAACAATATACCAGGTGACAACGAAATAATAATTAGACAGGTTGTCATTCAGTTGTTTTTTTTTATTGAACTTTTGACCTTTGGTTCAATGATATAGTTTCATTTTCCATGAATAAACAATTGAATCACTACTGGTTTTACTGAAATTGGCCTAGGTGGAACATTTTTTGTGGAACCCTGTAGATATTTTTACGCCGTTCGATAGAGCAAAAGAGTCCCTTTTCAATGACGTATCGAAAGTTGACCTTTGTTCTCAGAATGGTGGCGCAGGAGAATTTTTTTCTAAAATCAATATGGCGACAGTGTGACGTCATCCAACGAATTTTCTTCAAGCAACTTAATTAAATAGCAAATATACGAAGCACTTCAACTAGTTTTTGATGAAACATGCGAAAATTTATATCCATCGCCAGGATTCAGGATAAGAAATTATACTTTTTCTACTCACTACGCTTCTTGTTTTCATTTTCAATTACATAATCATTGAAGGTTGTCATTACACCTAAATAAATATCTACGTCTGCATAAAAAATATATTTTTTGAGAACCTAATCATAAAAACAAGCGTTTATTTGTTGATACTGACTCAAACTTCAAGATTTTAAAAAAGTGGCATTTTCTATTTTAAATTATAAAGAAAATTCAAGGTTAAGAAATATTAAAAGGAATCCTGATTGGCGATGAATTAAAATTGTCGCATGTTCCATCAAGAATTAATCAAACATTCGATCTATGACGTCACAGTGTCGCCATACTGAAAACAAATGTCCGTCAAAATGTCCACATTGAAGAAATATTTTTTCGCTCTATCGAATGACGTAGAAATATCTACAAGGTTTTTTCCATGGAAAATATGGATTTCAAGGAACTATCCTCGATCCAAATGTCAATAGTAAAATTAAAAACAGAATGACGCCCTTTTTACCCGGAATAAAGTACATATTGAAAAATGTGAATATTCTTGGCAAGCAAATAGAACGAATTCGAATGAATGTTATTAATTTGTAAGAACGAACGTTCTAGTTTTTTTTATATTGTTAATTTGAATGTTTTTGCCGATTCCAAACCGATCACTGTACGTTAAAAAACCCTCTACATCTACTTATCTTGTTATTCAATTCTTGTTGATTACCGATGTGAAATTTGTATCTAGAATATGTGTCATTCTTCGAATAACAACTGATAGTAGTTATTTATCATTGGATATACATTCTGATTGATTTTTTGAAAAATAATCTAGTAGAATGCATTCATATAAACAATGACCTGTTGCGACGAAGGCGATCAATGATATAAAATTAATTATTGCTATGTACCCCAGATTATGTACTATACCCAATTGGAATATTTTCGTTTATCCATGAATTATTGAGGTTTATGGAATTTGAAAATGGGTGAATAACAGTTTCAGTGTGAAAAATTTATAGGTACCTACTTTTGGCATGAATAAAAAAAAGGAAACTTTATTTCTGATCCCCTGTTATAGTTACCATGTCGTGAAAAAATATAATTTATTTCTTCTGACATAGCTAGTCCTCATTTGATTATTCACAGATGGAACATTTTAAATTTGATTCGTGAAGGTAGGTTCTATTCAAGGTACTATTTTATGTTTCGTCAATGTGTACATTTTTAAAAAATCATTACCTACTTATTTGTCTGCTTTCTTATTTTTGTTCAAGAGTGAAAAAGCTTATTTGTCTTCTATTTGTTTCCATATATGATGGTGGCGGGAATATTATTACTGTGGTATTAGTTATAGGTAATCAAGTTATATTAATAGCTACCTATAACATATTTCTTGAAAAGTTTCATTCATACGTAAAATGGAATTCTTTTACTGAAAATAATGTAGAGACGGACTTGCTAGTAGGTAATCACCTTGTAGATAGATAAAATACTAAAATTCAATTTTGTCAAAAAAACTCTCGAATGGTTATTTGTAATTCTAACTTCTGATGATTTTTTTAATTCAATTCACAGTCATTCGCACAGCAACTTACGGTGATCCGTTATGTGGGTGGTTTGATATATATAAATATATAAAATCACGAAGTGTAAAACATATATACAGTGTGATACAGTTTTTATTTGCGGTATTTCGAAAATTGGTAGGATATGCCGAATATGCGAGGATATATTATGATAGAGGGTGATGTTATACAGGGTGTTTGGTTCATCGACGTATATCTGGAAGGAGGTGGTAGTTAATATGATTTTGAACATATTCAACCATATTTACAATTATACAAAGTGTTACACTTTTCGAGAAATCATATCGCTTAAAAATTCGAAGTTGGATGTTGCAGAAAATCGTTTTTCGAATTCTGACGAGCCAAAACATTTTTGCATTACATTCGGATTCCAATACGTGTTCGATATCGACGAAATACGTATTCAACTTTTAAAGTAAAGAAAATACGATCAGATAAAATGGTCGCCAAAACGATAATATCACGAAATTCCTAACACTTTGTATCACGTCGGTGAACCATATTTTGTCTCTAGAAGAAGTTCTATAAATTGATATATTTTTTTCTAAAACCTCTGAAGATGATACAAATTTGGAATGAAACAACCTTTTCATACGGCAATATTAACAAAATATTTATATTTCAATTCACGGTTATCGAATTTACATTTTCCTAAATTACCGAAATTCTGTATGGTCCAAAATTATACTGAAGAAAGTGGAATTTTCTCATGATAAGAATAACGTTCTGTTAAAATGTTATGAACTGTTTTCCAGTTTTGCAAAAAATCCAAAAAAATCATGTTTTTTTGAAAACTGGTCGACAGATCTTCTTCAAAATTGGTAAACTTCTATTTATACATTGTAAAAAATTGTAAAATTGTTCATACAAAACAAATTTTCTTCGGATTATGGCGGTTATTTTGTCTTTAGAGTTTATATGGACCTTCATCGTCCGTTCCTTGCGATTTCCGGTATTGGCACTCAAATATATTCCGAGCAGAGTTTAATTCTGTTATTTATTTACATAGGAAAACCCCATTCCCTTGTCCGAAACTGACGACAGAGGACAAAATAATGAGCTGTTTCTGGAACATCTCAAGTCGACCTCAGTACAGACTAGTCCAACCGACCTACATATTCACGTTGAACATGACCAACCAGTTTGGTACAAACACTCTCGAATATGTTTTCGATCATTTCAAGCACGTCGTCCCTAATAAGCCCGAGAATTTGACAGCTGTCGCTACATCACCTCATTCCATAAATTTGACGTGGACGATACCATCTTCCATGGTAGGATTCCCTTGCGGGCTGCATCACAGGATATTGTACCAATGCGAATACGAGAAAAAGTGGCATTCTGGAGGCGTTATCACGACGGCAACTAAAAACGAAACTCTTAACTTTGAACTGACCAATCTGAAGTACGCTCACAATTTGTACGATATCAGAGTGAGCATGCGTTCAGCTGAAGCTGTGGATAGCGATACAGTGTGGTCAGAAAATGCATCCATAACCGAGTGGACCAAAAGCAAAATTCCTGATTGTCCGCCTGCCACAACTATAGGTAGCTTTGAGATCAACGAGTATAATTCGACCTTCGATGTATATGTGTATTGGCAAACAATCAAGCCAGAGCAAGAGAATGGACAGAATTTAACGTACGAAGTTTATATGGATAGTCATCCTGACCTCCGCTATACTGAGGTGACTAAGGCTTATGCTAAGTACACCAATTTATCTTTTTCTACTTACGTCATAAGTATCTGGTCGAAGAATGAGGAAGGGTTTTCGTCAGAAAAATCCACCGTTGTTATTCCTGCAGAACGTAAGTATCCATACGATTTGTTTCATCTTCATTTAAAGAAAAACTTGAAAGTCAGCAAGCTTCAATAGAGTGTGTTTTTCATTCCAACATTTTGTCATGCGCATGAATCGAAAAAAACCACCAAACTGTGCAAAATTTCGCTCAAATATTGATGGAAATCCATAAAACCGTTGTTTTAAAATGCGCACTTTCAATTTGTTTTGGAATCCAGCGGTTTGGAGGAGGTTCACATGGCAGTTGACATATTTTCAGTATTGTTCTTTGTTTTGATTTGATGGAAAACAAAGATTATTGAGGATTTCTGAGATTCTTGAAAGATTTTATCGTATTAGCCTCTTCTGATAGAAAACACAGCATCGGTTCCATCATAAATTCCATCAGAAAATTGGTGACGTCACGACAAAAAAGCGCATTTATCAATGCCGACTTTGTTCGATGAAATGAAAAACACACCCGAATTTTCACTACCTCATCAGATAGATTGAAATTAAAGAAAACTTGTATTCATTGATTTCGTTTAAAAATGACAATATCAACTTCCTGAATTTTTGGAATGTACTTCGGAAATACACATTTTGAAGTTCTCATATCAGATATCACTATAAAATGATGGAAAATCGCAAACAAGTCATGACATGCCTTGTTGTGGTTCAAAATCTTTTTTTTTAAACAAATAATGAATTATTTTATAGGTCCATCCCTACCTCGAAATTTCATTAAAATGGAACATACAGGACTAGTAGAATTGAAATGGGATGCACCTGTACATTCCAAGAGAGAAATCACTAATTACACCATATTCTGGTGTGATAATCATCGTGATAGACCTCATCAGTGTAAAGTGAGTAGAAGCAAATATAATTAAAGATTTTAGAGTTATTAATCCAGAGTTATGGCCCATTTACCTCAAATTGTTTGCTTCCTGAATTCTTTCAGTTATTTCCACAACAATATTCTACATTTTTATTGAAATGCTATTGTATACTTCAGGTCAAGCGTGAGAACGCAGTATACGAAAATGATTGGGCATCTTTATGTTCATATCATATCATATTGATTTATTTATTATAAAGAATCGTTTCATTTTCATGTGCAGAATTTTCTCTGCATCTTTTGATGACCGTGGGTTTATTTGAATGTTGAGTCTTCCAAATCTCTAGTTTATTCTCAAACAAAATGGTGCTTTGAAAATTGTCAAGTCAAAATCCATTCAAGGAATAATTCAAAACACATAAATTTCACGTATTTTTTAGGGACGTCTCAACTGGGTAACAGTTCCAAAAAATACATCAAAGTACAATGTTTCTATAAACGATCTATATCAATTCGCAATTTCGGCCAATAGCCACGGAAGCAGCAGCGGCATGTTATGGGCTGAATGTACTTTCGTAACCAGCAATGCTGTAGGAAAAATGAGGAACATTTGGATCAGCCGAAGTGGCTCAACGTTCATAGAGCTAGGCTGGAAACTAGATTGTTCTGATAGAATCCCGAGCGTCACAGGTTACGTCATATCCTATTGTCCGATGAAATCAGTCGAACAGAAGCAATGCACTGAGGGTGAGAAGAACGTCACGATACATGATAAATCTGCGCACTCTGGCATAGTCGACAATTTGAAACCGTACACCATGTACCGTCTCACAGTACGCGTCATCATGAGCCTGGATAGTTACAGTCAACCAAGTGACTTTTTGATGAACATCACAAATGAGGCTGCGCCATCAACCCCGCCTTTGAATGTGTCCGTCACTAAAATCACGAACTCGTCAGTATCGTTGAAATGGCTTCCACCCACTGAGATGAACGGCAAACCCTCGGATTACATCATCTATTACGCCACAGACACCGAGAAGAAGTCAAAACAAGCGGCCTACGAAATGGACAGCTTGACTTTGTCAGATCTGGAGAGCTACAAAACATATTGGATAACCATGCAGGCCTGTACAACAAACAGAAAATGTTCCAAGCCCTCCGAAAACATAACGGTTACAACACACATGTGGATACCCGGTAAAATAGATAAGCTTAGGGTGACTTTCCAAAACGATAGCCTCATTACCATCGAGTGGAAAGCGCCTTATCCCCCTAGAGGTCGTGTCGACTACTACCAACTGAAATTCACTCATGACCAGTCCGAGAACGCGGTGGAAGCGCAAGTGAACGTTACCAACACGCAAAAATACAATATCGAAGAGTGCGGACAGTCGGGGAAGTACAACAATATTCTAGTGTCTGTACGTGCTGTGAATATTATCGATGGGTCTCACAAACATGGACCTTGGAGTAAACAGCTTGAAGCGCGGTGCGCTCATTCGTCACGGCTTTACATCATATTCTCCGTTTTGGCGGTCTTCATTATTGTTTGTGCTGCTGTCATATTCGGATTCAGAAAGTAAGTAGCAACACTTGTTTGTATTCTTATTTTTAGATAAGGCCGTGTTTAGAACAACGCTAAAGTGAATCTTGTATTCAGAATTCCTCCACGCGAGTTTTCTATTTTCAAAAACTTCATCCATATAGTTCACAATCCGATCTTAATCGTTATATAGTACATAACAGGACGTGATGCTGGTCTCGGAACTTCTTGGTGGCATTAAGGTAGTGACACAGATCAACGTTTCGCGTGGATCTTTCTTGACTAATTCACGCTAATTTGGCGTGAAGCTTGTGATTAGTTCACGATTATTTCGCATGAAGCATTCCCTCATGATCAATCCACGCTAATTTCGGTTTGAGCATTCCTATATTATCAATCCACGCTGATTTTGCGTGGAGCATTCCCTTATAATTGATCCAAACAACAACTTGAACACTTCTGAGCGGTTTGTAGTAAACAGGCCGCTTTGACAGCTTTCAAGATCTCCGATAGATGGCGTACGCTTATTTTCTATCGCGAATAACATATTTTTCAACTGAACATGCATTGATTATGACGGTGTGAACAGCAACAGGTAGTTTTTTGAAGTAATAATAATAATAATAATAAAGTGTCATGAACACAATGCATAAGAGTATTATGAGAAGGAGGCGGCATTCAACGAGGTTGCTCTTCCTTACTCCCCCTAAGTATCCAACAAGTTGAAAGGCTATTTTCTATTAATTTAGGAAAAACAATTTACCTTACTATTGAAATATACTAAAGGTAAATATAACAGCTAAATGGGGTTTCTCATGTCATATATACAGGGTGATTCAGGTTTTGAGGCACAAACTGTAATGGGAGATAGATCTCATCATTTCAATCGGATAAGTTAATATAAACATTAGTCCGATCTCGTTCAGAAGCGGAGCTACAGGGGGTCAAAGTTCAATAATTTTGTTCTATTAATTGAAATATCTCGCTTGCTTCTCGAGATTTCACTTTGAAATTTGGTGTGGTATATACTTCCTAGAAGGTCATCATTTCAAGCTATTTGAAGATTTTCAAAATCTACAGGGTGATAGGTTTTTGTGGGTAGAGGCTTCTTTAACCCCCCCAAACTTTTTCGTCGTGCGCCTCTGGCATCTTTCACTGATCAAATTGTGTGGATTGTTCAATTTGGAGGCTTTTTTGCTTCCTAATTCTTTTCGAGAAAACGAACCGTTTTTGAGATAAATGAGCATATACGTTCTAAGATATGTTAATTTTGCCTATGTTTCGCTTTTCGTTGAGAATACAATGAAATGTACTCATTAAAATTGCAATCACGAGTCCAATCTGGATCAGTAACGGGGATACAGAGGCTAGAAAGTCAAGGTTTTTTTTTCAGATGAATAAAATTTAAGCGAAACATAGGCAAAATGTTTTAGAACGTATATGCTTATTTATCTCAAAATTGGTTCGTTTCTCGAAAAAAATTGAGGACCGAAAAAAGCTTCTGAATTGAACGATCCACACAATTTGATCACCGAGAGATGCCAGAGGCGTACTACGGAAAAGTATCATCCTGTAGATTTTGAAAATCTTCAAATGGCTTGAAATGATGATCTTCTAGAAAGTATTGACCACACCAAATTTCAAAATAATATCTTTGAAAGTTAGCGAGATATTTCAATTAATTCAAAAAAATAATTAAGCTTTGGCCCCCTGTAGCTTCGCTATTGAACGAGATCGGACTAATGCTTATATAAACTTTTTTGATTAAAATGATGAGATCTATCTTCTATTTCAGTTTGTGCCTTAAAACCTGAATCACCCTGTATATATATAGGATTTGGCATATATTCAATTAGCAAGAGAGGTCTATGCTGTCAGACAATTAGCACAATCTGTATCATCTGAGGTTTTGAGGAATGCATATTTTGCCCTAATTCACTCAAAACTATCATATGCAATATTAGCATGGGGCCATTCCACTGGAATGAACAGAATATTTAGTCTTCAAAGGAGAGCCGTCAGAATAATAGGAAATAAAGGTTACAGAGACGATACAAAGAATACTTTCTTTGCCTACAGAATACTCACAGTTCCATGTGTCTATGCACTGCAATGTATCTCCTAACTTTAAAACTCATGCTGAGTTACATAACCTTGAAACTAGATTCAGAAATAATATCTCACCAGATTACTTTAGACTAGCTAGGGGACAAACAGGTATTAATCACTATGGTATTAAGCTTTTCAATCCTTTGCCGACCAATATAAGGGCCCTAACAGTGACACTTTTCAAAAACAAAATCAAGGAATTCCTAATTGGTAATGCATTTTTTCTCTAGATGAGGTAGAATCAGGTACAATAAACACCACTTAGACAAGAGTCTCTTTGTTGATTTATATTCAAAGTTTTCTTTAAAGTATTATGTGTATATGTATACAGGGTGTTAATTTGAAAACTTTCAATGCGAATATCTCGCGAAATAAAAAAGTTAGAAAAACGCCGCTTGGCAAAAATGCTAAAGAGTTAAGGGGAACTAGAACCACCATATTTCAGTGAAGGGATGAGTCACCCTGTCAGCGCAACACACCCCAACTTTGAAATGTCAAATGGCACTACCTCTTTTGTGATACCTCAAATGAACGGTCTCAGTCAGTAGTATTCACCTATACAAGACTTTTTTTCCACCCACTACAGGGTGTACGAAAAACATTGATTCGAGGGTCTTAATTTGAAAACTTTCAATGCGAATATCTCGCTAAATAAAACAGTTAGGAAAACCCCGTTTGGCACAAATGCTACAGAGTTAGGGGGAACTAAAACCACCATACTTCAGTAACGGGATGAGTCACCCCGTCGGCGCGACACACTCCATCTTTGAAATGTCAAATGGCACTACCTCTTTCGTGATACCTCAAATGAACGGTCTCAGTCAGTAGTATTCACCTGTACAAGACTTATTTTCCACCCACCACAGGATGAACGGAAAACATAAAGTCGAATAAAATAAAATGCAGAATGCCGATATATTCCAAGAGATGTGTTCCAAAATGTTACAGTGGCATTTGAACATCGATTATACTAGTACTTACAACAGAATGGAATGCATTTTGAACATCTGATCAAATAAAATATCCTTTTAACACAATTAATTTTATTTCATTCGACTTTATATTTTTCGTACACCCTGTAGTGGGTGAAAAAAAAGTCTTGAACAGGTGGATACTACTGACTGAGACTGTTCATTTGAGGCATCACAGAAAAGGTAGTGCCATTTGACATTTCAAAGTTGGGGTGTGTTGCGCCGACGGGGTGACTCATCCCTTGAATGAAATATGGTGGTTCTAGTTCCCCTTAACTCTTTAGCATTTTTGCCAAACGGCGTTTTTCTTACTTTTTTCTTTCGCGAGATATTCGCATTGGAAGTTTTCAAATTTACACCCTGTATATTGATATGAATTGTTCAATTGAACTTTTTTATCTCTTTCTTTCAATGTATATTTTTTACAATATTATTTTGTTATGAAGGCTAGCATAATCGACCTTGACCTGTGTTAATACACCATGTATATTAACACCAATAAATCTATCTATCTATAATCTATTCTCTCTACACACGACCCCCGTGTTCCAGGATGTACGCGTGCTGCAAGAGCATGCAAGACGTGGAGGTTAAGCTGCCTCCCGGGCTGGCGCCCGTCATAGAGCAGCGCGACCTCGTGCCGTGGACGTCGGAGAAGAGTCCCGAAGACATCGATCGGTCGTCGCGCGCCGACGAGGAGCTCCTTCTACAGGTGACAAACATTGATGAAATAAACCTCTGGTGCGCTCACCTTTCACTTGTTTCGTCATACTGGTTCTTGATTTAAGGATCAATTCTAGCACTGATGCAAAATGTATTCCCTATCTTCATTTATCACAATTCGGTCACATTGATGCCTGTAATTTTGGTACGTCACCAAACTATACTTTGCCATGTTTATCGAAGTAGGCAAAAATCAAGGAATTGTAAAACAGGAAAGGATTGAAGTGCCTACACCAGAGGTTTATTTCATCAATTGACCAACTATACTTTATAAAACAGAGTGGCGACAATAGTGATGCATTTGGTTAGACCTCTAATATGGAGGTGGATCCACCTGTCTTGTTTTCTCCATCCAGTTCTACGCATTCTATTTCACTTTGTGAACGCTTTAGGCGTTTTCAGAAACTTACTCGGGTTTATCGGATCCCTAACCTGAACGTTCGGTCAACTAAACCAAGTCACCTACCTTTGTTCGGGAACTTGAGTGTTGCTGACGCGGGTTGATTTTTCGCACACAAAAACAGGGTCGCTAGATCTGAAGCAATAATGTTGAATTAAAGGGTGTGAGTTTCCAGATTCCACCGAACTGAATAAACTCATTATCGCAGTTCATTTCATTATCACCTGCAATGGCTCTTTCCTCTTCCTCAAAGTTACTGGCACTATGCTCTGCTATATTTCAACCACATTATAAAGGAATAAATCGAAGTTGACGGTATTGTACTGTGGTATTATCAACAATTGATGATTTTTAATGACTTTTGAAATTTTATTATGATCAAATAATTATTTTCGAACCTAACCTAACTTAAAATCTGATCCTCACGTCATCAGTTTCCATCCTTCACTTTCCGTCCTTATAGATTCAAAAAGTACCTCTCATTTTGGTCCCATTTTTGTTGATATATCGTATAGGCGATGCGCCATATATAGAAATAGTAGATATATGGTTACCTTTAACTCGTTCTGCAGAAGATGTCCGAGGTGAGAGCCAGCGCGGACTCGAGCGGATGCAGCTCGGGCCACGAGAGCATCACGTCGTCCTTGGAGTCGAACACTCACTTGTCAGTCGACTCTGGGACCGATCAGCCGAGGAGTGTCAGCGACGAGAACAGGAGGAATTCTTTGCGGCAGCGGAACGTGTCGTGCAAAGGTAAGAAGTCCGAGCGTACATTGAGACGCAGGCAAAAAATACTAAATCAATTTTAAAATCCAAATACCACAAAAAATAAAATCAAAAATCTCTGTCAGTCATTGACAATTAAACAATCATGTGAACGGTATGACGTCAAATCTATGTCATATATTGAGGTATAGGTAATGAACCGTCCTGTTGAGTAACCAATCCTTGACTTGTAACAACAAAATCCATGAGTGAAACGCTGTTATTCGAAGGTTACGTGATGCCCGATGCCATACAGACGACCGTCAACTGGGGCCCGAAGCCCGCAGCCGCGGCGGGCAACTACTGCGTCCTCGGAGTCGACCCGAACAAGGCCGACCCCGCTCTGCCCTACGTGCCTGTCGGCGACGGTGGGTCGTCGGTGTCGCTGCCATACATATCCTGCGACCCTAGCTCGGTCGCCCCGAAGGCGCATGCGTTTCCGGGGGAGTTCGTCAAGACTGCGAATCCTGGGTACGTGCCGTACATGGCGAACGAACCGGCTGGCAAAAATACAGGTATGTTGAATCAAACAAACAGTTTCCAAGATAAATAGGCACGTGAGTGTCAAAATTTCACAATGAATGAAAAGAGGTCTACAATGGTCACTAGATCTACCTTTACAAAGGTATCTCATTGCTTTTGGCAGGTTACGTGCTGGCAGGTCTCTCTAAGGATATCCTCGTGCCGGACCTGCGCCAAGTTGACGCGCCGGTCCCGATGACTAGCGTCGAGGACAAGCCCTACCTGAAGATGGACGCCCCAGCGACCCCGAAGGCGGTCCAGCTGGGGTGGCACCAGCCGGCTTTGGAGACCGCCAAGACGGGGTACGTCACCGTGGGGGATGCGCCCCCGCCCAAGGCGCTGAAAGAAGCCCCCAAGGGGTACGTGCCCCACAGGCAGTTCGAAGCGAAGGCGCTGAAGGAGGACTAATGGATGTTATGTATGCATATGCGTGCGGTATGAACGCGGAGGTTTTCGAGACTCATTCGGTTGAGCGAGGTGGACGCGTATTTTATTAACCTCTTAGGTAACTGTTTAGGAGTATCTGTTGAGTGTCTGAATACCTCGAATTTTCGGATGGTTGTAGCAGAAAAAAAAATAGCTTGGGGGAGTTCGGTCCACGATGCAAACATATTTCGTGCGTTGAAAACTCTTACTGTTTTTTTTTTCGAAATTTTGCACTTTCTGGTAATATTCAGTAAGTATCGAATCAAATCAAATTGAACCCAGATTGTGAACGTATAAATGATGTACAAAAAACATCCATTCAGATTTTGTCCAGCTTGTCACAGAAAAAGAAACCTATAGAAAAATTACAGAAGATTCCTTGGAAATGAAATGTTTACAAAAACTAACACTCAATTATTGTATTACGATTTTTTTAAATTCATATAACTGCATGATCTGCTATTTCAATTACTTCTAGAGTCCTAGGGTCAAATTAAATTATTAATTATTAATAACCAACTTTGAAAATGTCGAAATTTTCGATTGGCATTGTCACTTTGGGTTCAAGAACTCGCCGCTGTTCAATGAATTTGTTTATATTTGGTGAAATATTAACAATCATTCAAAACTTCGTCAAAAACAGAAGAGACATAAGATGATAAACACATTTGCATTGACATAATACAGGGTGATTCAGGTTTTGAAGTACAAACTGAAATGGGTGAAAGATCTCATCATTTTGATCAAAAGAGTTCGTATAAATATGTGTCCGATCTCGATCAGTAGCGCAGCTCCAGGGGGTCAAAGTTTAATTATTTTTTTCCATTAATTGAAATATCACTCAGTTCTGAAGATATCAATTTGAAATTTGGCGTGGTAAGTACTAGACGATGATCATTTGAAGCATTCTCAATATTATTGAAATCTACAGGGTTATAAGTTTTTGAGGGGGGAGGCTTCTTTTGCACCCCAAACTTTTTCCTAGAACGCCTCTGACATCGTCCACTCAATAAATAGGGAGGGTCATTCAATTTGAAGGATTTTTTTGTATATCATTTTTTTTGCGAGAAACGAACCGTTTTCTAGGTAAATAAGCATATCTGTTCTAAAACATGTTAATTTTGCCTCATTGCATGTGTTCAATCTGAATCAGTAGCTATCAAGTTGTTTTTAACCAATCCAAAGACCCGGAAAATTCGTGTCAGGACTGGTCAGCCCCATATCCTGTTGAATCCATATTTCTTATCCAATATATTTTTCAATATCTTTCACCTATAGGTCTTGTGCACTGATAAAGCAATTATGGCGATAAATAACCATAAGTTACATGCGGCCTTATTATTACCTAATGTCCTTTGTGGACCGTGCAATCTTCCCGACAGGTTCGATGCTATATCATTTTTTATATATTTTTTTAAATTATAATGAAAAAGATATTGGATAAGAACTATGGATACAACAGGATATGGGGCTTAACTAGTGGCTGAACACGAATTTTCCGCGTCGTTGGATTGGTCGGTTAAATGCAATATGACCTTCCACCTCCCGCTACTGATTCAGATTGAACACATATTGAAAAACCTTGCAATGTTAGTACATTTTATTGCAAAATCAACATGTTATAGAACGGATGCGAAAAAGCCTTCAAATTAGATGATCTTCCCTTTTCAGTAACTGCAAAATGTCAGAGGAGTTACTGCCAAAATGTTTGGTGGGAATAAAGAAGTATCTACCCCCAAAAACGTATCACCCTGTAGATTTCAAGAATCTTCAAAACGCTTCAAATGATGATCTTCCAGTGTGTTCTGACCAAACCATATTTCAAATTGATATCTCCAGAAGTGAGAAAAATATTTCAATTAATATAAAAAAATATTTAAATTTTGACCCCCTGTAGCTCCGCTACTGATCAAGATCGGACTCGTATTTATGCGAACTTTTTTATCAAAATGGAGAGATCTGTCACTCATTTCAGTTTGGACCTTGAAACCTAAATAACCCTGTATATGATGACATGAAACACCTAAAGGTGAGTTCCCAATGCATCGTTTTTGCTTTTCGCGTCACGCGTCACGCAATCTGATTGGTCGCGGAATTCGTTAAAGTTAAAATATTTTAACTTTATGGCGTTGCTGCTAGGTGATATGTCATTTATATTCGATATTGGGCTGTTGTTTGCGGTTGAATTGAGGTTATGTCTTGAAAAACTTTCAATAGTTCAATTGTTAAATAATTGAAGTATCACTGTGGAATGTGCACTGAAATCATCAACAGGTCTGACCCAGCATGATCTTATTTTTCTCTGTCTTCTTCGTTTTCTCAGTAGATAAGCTAATAGCAGCAATTTTCTCAATCTATTTTTGTTTCTTGCTTCCATTTAATTAGATTATTTTCATCTACTTTGACATTTTCCTGACAATAACGACATAGCTAAACATCATTCATTGGGAACTAAACAATAATCAAAAAAGCGGTACAGCAATTCCGAATTACGCGTCACCAATCAGAGTGCGTGACGCGAAAAGCAAAAACGATGCATTCGGAACTCGCCCTAAGTTCTAGGTGAGGGGGTAGGACACAGAACAATAAAATACAGAGATTCAGACCAGAGATACTCAAGGAACATAATTATCTTCCTGATTATTTTTCAGTTAGTTACTGGTAGACTGAAAAATTATTGAAAAAGACTGATCATATTGTTTGATTAGTATTTTTGATGATTCAACGATGAATTGACTCCTAAAGAATGATTGACGTTCAATCAATACAGCATAATATTTTCAGATGATGTAAAACTTGACAGTAAAAACAGTAAGAGGTTTTCACGTCTTGGACGGAGGCTGAACTCCGCTATTAGATAACCTTTGTGAAATGCTCAGTTGAGAAACAAAATCATCAACTATTCAACTCCCGCTCATGAATCTTGAAATAAATCATCACTCCCACAAAATGATTCAAAGTCACTGCTCAGAGTTATTCAAATATGATGGTAATTATGGTATTTATTATACCGGGTGGCTACAGAAGTATTGCCTACGGAATATCTAAGTTATTGTATGAAGTAGGTTTGTGAAATTTGGAGCGTCGATATAATGACATAAGAGCTAGAATTTGAGCATATTGACATGTCGAAGTTAACTTCCGGTCTGACCGGAAGTAACATCAACTTTCTTATTTTGAATGGACACCCTATTTTTTTTTTCTTTTCGCTTTATTCAGCATTCAATTCCCTTTCTAATGACATATCACAAGTTGGTATCCTATCAATTTGAATTTTTTTTTTTTCGATAAATCTGTTTTTTGTTATTTGAAGAATAATAATTGGATTTTTTGGTAATTCATTTCAAAAAATGACTTTCTATTATATTATTAGAAAAGAATGGTTATGCTGAATAGTACAGGCAAGAAAAAGTTGTATGTTCCTATCTAAGGTATGGGCCTACAGAGTATTGTTTTTTTTTTCAATTTTTCCAATATTTTTTTTGGCGGCTTTTTATAACGTCGACGAATGAAAATAAAATATCACAGTTGTAGCAACTGTTATCAAGTGACGTATGGTTTCCATAGCCAACTTTTCAATTTTTGGCTTTCCTTTTTGCTTCCACGGCCTACTCGGTGAATTTCAATATTTTTTTTCTGATCTAGTTTCTGGTTAGATACCAACTTGTGATATGTCATTAGAAAGGGAATTGAATGCTGAATAAAGCGAAAAGAAAAAAAAATAGGGTGTCGATTCAAAATAAGAAAGTTGATGTTACTTCCGGTCAGACCGGAAGTTAACTTCGACATGTCAATATGCTCAAATTCTAGCTCTTATATCATTATATCGACGCTCCAAATTTCACAAACCTAGTTCATACAATAACTGAGATATTCCGTAGGCAATACTTCCGTAGCCATACGGTATGGTGAGAAATCCAAAGTAGGTTGAAATATCCTGGTAAGACTGAAAAACTTGAATTTTTATACTTTCTTGTGTATACCATGAAATTTGTATTACTCTGTACAGTGGATATTAAGAAATATGTAGTAAAACGATGTCTCGTCAAGCCTTTGGAGGTAATCTTTTCAAGCTGACAATGGGGTATTGAAAATTGTTCAATTCTCGAGAGTCAAATGGAGTGAGTAAATTCTCATATGGCCTCCATAGACTCATTGAAAACAAATCTGTCCCTTTCTCCACATGGCACCTATGTATCTCAGCCTTAGATTTATTTGTATAAGCTAGATGAATACTACCAATACAATATCTAAATGTTGAAGCAACAAAGCCATTTTGTGTAGATAGCACAATATTATTTGAATTAAGTACTTTTTAGGAAGAATTTACACATTTTTTTATTTATTTTTTAATAGTTTTACTGAGTGGCGGAAAGTGTGAAGTTTGCATAAATGCCTGTGAATCATTTGAAATTTATTTTATTTTGGACAAATTTAACAGAACAAAATTTTCACATGTACATTATTTTTACTATCACTAATTGATTTTCAACTGAATTTATCATTTTGATGACTTCATCATCTCATATACAGGGTGATCCACGGTGGATTGCCTATTAGAAGTATCTGGAGAACGAAAAGACAAAAAATTCTGAAAATTGGGATGCTTTTATAATTGAACATTCTCTATCCGTCTAAAATATTTTCATCGATACGGTGTTGCCACCTCTATCAGAAACAACTAGCAACTTTGTTATTTCAAATGGAACACCCTGTATTTTATTGCATTTTTATATTCCTCCTAAGGAGCTAATTTCATCAACGCATCACACTTGGGGTCTAGCAGGAATGATTACAGAGATATATAGAGTGTTCAAAATCGAGATTTTTCAATTTTAGAATTTTTTTGGGTCAAAACTTCATTATCGATCGAAAGGGCTCACATGTCCATATCCTAACATTTGATTTACTATCTACTGGAGTTTAATTGGAAAATATACAGGGTGCTTCAAGATTCAGAATTCTGATCATCATGTATCTGTTACAATCAAATGTCAGTAGATAGTGAATCGAAAGTTGAGATAGGGACATGTAAGCCGTTTTGATCGAGAATGAATAGTTTTGACACAAAAAAATCCTAAAATTCAAGAATCTCGATTTTAACACCCTATATCTCTGTAATCATTCCCGCTAGAGATTT